ATAGAGAACAATTTAATCTGTTTCATCATTTTTTGCAAGGTTTTTCTGTTTTTTTAATTTTTTATTATTATAAATTAATTTATTTTTTGTTAGGGTAAGGGGTTATAGTTAAGGTTAGGTGTTAGAGTTGGGATTAGGGGTTGGGGTTAAGGGTTAAGGTTAGGGGAAGGAGTTAGAGTTAGGGTTTAGGTTAGGGGCTAGGTTTTATATATACTGTATATATATATATATATATATATATATATTATTTATTTTATGAAATTATGGTTCTTTTTTATTATTTGTGCATTTATTTTCTTTATTTAACATTCATTTATTATTATTATTTTATTTGAGTAGAAAAACGCTCGACAAAATGCGCAAATTTCTATGGAATTAGAAACGCTCAAAAACATGCAAATCTGCCCAATTTGAGTGACAAAAAAGCTCCAAAACTTGTCTGAGGTTCAGGCGGCTTACAGTGGAGATGTGAACCATATCCATTGAGAATAATTGATTTTTTTTCTCCTCAAGCGTTTTGTCACTCGGGTGTGAATGCAGCCTAAAAGTTATGTTCTATATTCAAAGTCTTTAAAGAAGTGCACAATCCTATTCCAGTGAATTAACATATATATACAATTACTGTACATAATGAGTTCTGTCTGATAAGACAACTTCACTCTCAGTTTAGAAAAAAAAAGTAAGAGTAACTCATTTCACATTACATAGAACAGAAAACATCATAAATACTTGCACATCACAGCCAAGTTTTGAGGACATATTGCTTGAGGAAGTGAGATTATGTTATTCTTACAATAACATTTCCTTTTATAACTAATGGTACATGAGACCTACCATCAAGATTATACATGAGCATTTTAGTCACAATTTGTGTGGGGTCTACTCAGGTCCATGTTTTAACCACTTGCCTACCTGGCACTTATACCCCCTTCCTTACCAGGCCAATTTTCAGCTTTCAGAGCTGTCACACTTTGAATGAAAATTGTGCGGTGATGCAACATGTACCCATATGAAATTTTTATCATTTTTTTTCACACAAATAGAGTTTTTTTTGGTGGTATTTACTTTCTGCTGGGTGTTTTATTTTTTGCGCTATAAATAAAAAAAATAGCAAAAAATTTGTAAAAAAAAAAGTTTTTCTTTGTTTCTGTTATAAAATTTTGCAAACAGGTACTTTTTCTCCTTCATTGATGTGCATTGATGAGGCAGCACTGATAGGCAGCACTGATGGGCACTGATAGGCAGCACTGATAGGCGGTATTGATGGGCACTGATAGGTGGCACTGATAGGCAGCATGGATGAGCTGGCACTGATGATGGGCACTGATAGGCAGCACTGATGGGCACTGACTGATGACACTGACTGGCGGCACTGCTGGGTGGCACTGGTGGGCAGCACTGCTGGGCTGCACTGATGGGCACAGGTGTGTGGCACTGCTGGGCACAGGTGTGTGGCACTGCTGGGCACAGGTGTGTGGCACTGCTGGGCACAGGTGGGTGGCACTGCTGGGCATTTGTGGGTGGCACTGGTAAGTGGCACTGTTGGGCACTGATCATCAGGGCAGTGATGATCAGTGCCGATCCTCCTCTGACAACTTCCGGTTCTCGGCAGTACTTTCCTCATGCTGTGACAGCTTGAGGAAAGTGCATCCAATAACCGGCAATTGCATTTCCCAATGATCAGTGTGTCATTGGACACGGCTGATCACGTGGTAAAAGGCCTCTGTGATTGGCCTTTTACCATATCACGTGATCAGCTGTGTCCATAGGACACAGCGACCATGGAGATCGCTGGGAGAGTGCGTTCTGGGAAGACGTCATATGATGTCCACCCAGAACTGGCCGGCTGCAGTGAAGCCGGCTTCATTCGGCTATCTGCGATCGGCAAGTGGTTAAAAAAAATAGCCAAAAAAAAAGGAATTTGCCACAGGACAAACTAGAAATGGGTTCCACTGTTATGGTCTATAGTGGATTACAAATACCAGTCAGTTGTTCAGTAAGTGTGGCCTCACAGTGCACCCTGTGCCAATGGGCTTCTGTTCAATTTAAATGGATTTTGTATTCCCATACAAGTCTATAGAAATGCAAAAGCCATTTGAAACAGATCAACTTTGGATCAGAAGAATGCCAACTGCAGATCAAATACACCTGTCAATGAATTCTGAATGAAGAATCTTAAACTGTTGTAGAAAAGATGTCAAAGATGCCTGTTGACACAAGCTCATATGGTCCTATATTTAAAAATACAATTACCCAATTTAACAATCATTTTGATGAAATAATCTTTCAGAAACAAATATTCCACAATAGGCATTATGATCTATAAACATTTTTGTTGAAAAGGAAAAATTAAACCCGATATTGATTTAATAGAATTTGACACAAACTGTATTTTTCTTTGTTGTGTCGATCATTTTCAAGTATAAGATAATTTAGAAGAATCACATCTATGATTGGTAGATCATTATTGATTTGTGTACTGTACAGCAGGGGTGGACTGATCATTTGGAAACTCGGGCACTGCCCGAGGGCCCAGGGTCAGTAGGGGGCCCCATGAGATGCCCCTAATACCTTTTTCATAGGCTTTTTTGAGTTTGGGCAAGGACACAGGGGCCCCATGATCCCCTATTGCCCGTGGGCCCTATGACTTGTCAGTCCGCCCCTGCTGTACAGTATATCCAGCATTAGTCACATTTGGTCTTTTAACTGGGTTGCCAAAAAGAGGGCTTCACTACACAATTCTCCTTTTAGCTTTGCTCCAGTGCTGGCAACAGTCCACTGCTGGTTCTTATATTTATAGAGGAAAGATATTCAAATGTCAAGAAGAATTCATGTCTTGTAATACGCACAGGTTGAGTAAAGCTTTTTGGGTTTTAAATGGTATTTCACATAAAGGATGAACAGCTTACTAGATATAGGGTGGAATGACCTGAGTTCTGTTTCTACCAGCTTAGGTACTCTGGTACAGTGCAGCAGTTATGACATTGCAGGTGTTATACCATGAAGCAGGTCTTTATAGAGCACATAAAACAGTACTACAGAGTATACTATGCTCAATAGCAGGACCAAGTGCAGAGAAAGGAGAGGTGTTCAAATGGGTGCTTTTTATGGGTCTCATGATGTGGAGTCACAGGGGGAGTCTAGGAATTCTTCACTCTATACTTTTTTAAGTCACATTCTGATCAGATTTAAGTACCTAGGTAGAAAAGACACTGAGTAATAGTTATTAAGACCTAGAGGCTGCATGCAGCATCAGAGATCTAATAACTAGATACAAAGAAAGAAGTAAATAGAGATCTTCAATGTAAACCTTTTTAAGGGTTACATGACATAAGCCATTGCTGACATCCTTAGGACAGGAAGTAATGTGGTTAGCACATTGTTTTCACAGACATCGGTCAAGCAACTATTCTTCTATATTATACTGTGATTAGGTATGTCACTAGATGGTAGCATTCTTGAATAATGTAATGCTCTTTATGGTCAAACTACATGGTTATGATTTAATTTCCTGTCTCTGTGCTCCTGCTGTTTTCTAATAAACCAAGAAGGGTTCAATCATTTATCCAGCACCATCTTGACTGGTAAGGCAGCCCACACATGAATCAGTTTTTTTGTTCAAAAAGCAGGTTGAACAAAAAATAAAAATGCCTCAACTACCCCATCCGCACATGTGGATGGGAGAATCCTCCCTGCTGAGCTATTGTATTCTGACAGTGGGGAGACTTCCATGCTGTCCTTTCAATATAGCCAGCAGTGCTGATCAACAGGGCGGATGTATAGAAATCATTTGGTAGATCACCTTCTGTACAACCACCCTACCCATACATGGGTCGAAATTCGATTAATGTACAGCCACCTTAAGAGTCAATCAGAAGTCAATCCACTGCAGCCAAAAACATTATAATAGCATGGGGAATTATTAGGACTTCTTTTCATGAGGACAGCATTTTTCATTGCTGTCCATTCCTCCTGTCTCAGTGTCACAGGGACAGGAAACAATGACCCAGCTTGGTCATGTTCAATGTGTTTGTTTCAGTTGTCAGAAATTAATTTGTTAGGACCCAGTAGCAAAATTACTGAAAGCTGTAGAAATAGACTAGTGTTACTGTATATGTTCTTTTCTGTGTTTCTGTAAAAAAAAAAACAGGCACTAAAGTTTATGTTCTATGTTTGACATCTTTAAAGGTGTGCACAATTCTATTGTGAAATACATATATACAATCACATTAAGAGTTTTGCCTGATAAGACAACTTAACTCTCAGTTTAAAAAAGAAAAATTAGAGTGACTCATTTCACATTACGTAGAACAGAAAACATCATAAACATTTGTAAGTCACGTCCAAGTTTTGAAGGCATTTTGCTTGAGGAAGAGAGATTATGTTATTCCTACAATAACATTTCCTTTATAATTAATGTTACAGGAGACCTACCATTAAGATTATACATAAGCATTGTAGGCACAATTTGTTTGGACACTGCATTTTAAGAACTAGCCAACAGTATTTGCTACAGACCCAATGATAGAAGGTGCCCACTCTATGATTAATTACAAATACCAGACAGTTGTACAGTAAATGTAGCCTCACCTGAGTCTTACATCTTATGTCAATGGGCTTCTGTTCTTTTTAAACCAGTTGTACATTCCCATACGAGTTTATAGAAATGCAAACCCCATTTGAAGCAGGTCAACTTCAGAACAGAAGTCCAACTGCAGATCAAATATACCTGTCAATTAATTCTGAGTTTCAAACATTGTCATATGCTGGTCATACATTTAAAAATTATTGAATGCAACATTCATTTTGATGAAAGAATTGTATCCCTCAGAAATAGATTGCACAATAAAGGCATTATGATTGTAGCTAGAGATGAGCGAATTATTCAAAAATTCGATTCGGCTGATTCGGCGAATTCGCGGAATAAATTCGATTCGAGTCGAATATATTCGCTGCGAATTTAACTTATAAAAAGGGTGTTTCTAGGCTTCAGAGAGCCTTTATATTAGTGCAGAACACTGTACCTTTAATTTAAATGCCCTTGGAGTCTGCTGGGGAAGAGAAATAATACTGTCAGTCAGTATGACATGCAGATGAGTGCCGTCGATCTTAGAATCACCGCACACTAAACTCATTTGGGCAGTCACGGGGCCAAAACCAGAGTGTGGAGCCACAGTGTGGCGGTGGAGGCAGCAGCAATGGGAGGCCATACAGCACCCTATGACAAAATGGAACCCACCAGCAGTGTGTGGAGACCTGAAAGTGGCACATGGCAGAGTGTGGCGATGGAGACAGCAGCAATGGGAGGCCGTACAGGGACCCATGACACACTCTGGACCTGGCAGCAGCATGAGGAGCGCGGTACAGGGGCCCATGACAGATTACGGGCCTGGCAGCAGCATGAGGAGTCGGTACGGGGGCCCATGGCAGATTACGGGCCTGGCAGCAGCAATGGGAGGCCCGTAATCTGCCAGCACCCTATGACAAAATGGAACCCACCAGCAGTGTGAGGAGACCTGAAAGTGGCACATGGCAGAGTGTGGCGATGGAGACAGCAGCAATGGGAGGCCGTACAGGGACCCATGACACACTCTGGACCTGGCAGCAGCATGAGGAGGCGGTACAGGGGCCCATGACAGATTACGGGCCTGGCAGCAGCATGAGGAGTCGGTACGGGGGCCCATGGCAGATTACGGGCCTGGCAGCATCAATGGGAGGCCATACAGCACCCTATGACAAAATGGAACCCACCAGCAGTGTGAGGAGACCTGAAAGTGGCACATGGCAGAGTGTGGCGATGGAGACAGCAGCAATGGGAGGCCGTACAGGGACCCATGACACACTCTGGCCTGGCAGCAGCATGAGGAGGCGGTACAGGGGCCCATGACAGATTACGGGCCTGGCAGCAGCATGAGGAGTCGGTACGGCACCCCATGGCAGATGTGAGGAGACCTACGTGGCACATGGCAGAGTGTGGCAGCAGCAGCAATGGGATGGGAGGCCGTACAGGGACCCATGACAAACTGGAACCCAGCAGCATGTGAGGCGGTACAGGGGCCCATGACAGATTTACGGGCCTGGCAGCAGCATGAGGAGCGGTACGGGGGCCCAGCAGATTATGGGCCTGGCAGCAGCAATGGGAGGCCGTACAGGACCCATGACACACTCTGGACCTGGCAGCAGCATGAGGAGGCGGTACAGGGGCCCATGACAGATTACGGGCCTGGCAGCAGCATGAGGAGTCGGTACGGGGGCCCATGGCAGATTACGGGCCTGGCAGCAGCAATGGGAGGCCCGTAATCTGCCAGCACCCTATGACAAAATGGAACCCACCAGCAGTGTGAGGAGACCTGAAAGTGGCACATGGCAGAGTGTGGCGATGGAGACAGCAGCAATGGGAGGCCGTACAGGGACCCATGACACACTCTGACCTGGCAGCAACATGAGGAGGCGGTACAGGGGCCCATGACAGATTACGGGCCTGGCAGCAGCATGAGGAGTCGGTACGGGGGCCCATGGCAGATTAGGCCTGGCAGCAGCAATGGGAGGCCTGCCAGCACCCTATGACAAAATGGAACCCACCAGCAGTGTGAAGAGACCTGAAAGTGGCACATGGCAGAGTGTGGCGATGGAGACAGCAGCAATGGGAGGCCGTACAGGGACCCATGACACACTCTGGACCTGGCAGCAGCATGAGGAGGCGGTACAGGGCCCATGACAGATTACGGGCCTGGCAGCAGCAATGAGGAATCGCCAGCAGGGGGCCCATGACAGATTATGGCCCAGCAGCAATGGTGAGGACCCGAAATGGGGCCCATGACAGAGTCTGGACCTGGGCAGCAGCATGAGGAGGCCGTACAGGGACCCATGACAGATTACGGGCCTGGCAGCAGCATGAGGAGGCGGTACGGGGGGCCCATGGCAGATTACGGGCCTGGCAGCAGCAATGGGAGGCCCGTAATCTGCCAGCACCCTATGACAAAATGGAACCCACCAGCAGTGTGAGGAGACCTGAAAGTGGCACATGGCAGAGTGTGGCGATGGAGACAGCAGCAATGGGAGGCCGTACAGGGACCCATGACACACTCTGGACCTGGCAGCAGCATGAGGAGGCGGTACAGGGGCCCATGACAGATTACGGGCCTGGCAGCAGCAATGGGAGGCCCGTAATCTGCCAGCACCCTATGACAAAATGGAACCCACCAGCAGTGTGTGAGGAGACCTGAAAGTGGCACATGGCAGAGTGTGGCGATGGAGACAGCAGCAATGGGAGGCCGTACAGGGACCCATGACACACTCTGGACCTGGCAGCAGCATGAGGAGGCGGTACAGGGGCCCATGACAGATTACGGGCCTGGCAGCAGCATGAGTATCGGTACGGGGGCCCATGGCAGATTACGGGCCTGGCAGCAGCAATGGGAGGCCCGTAATCTGCCAGCACCCTATGACAAAATGGAACCCACCACAGTGTGAGGAGACATGAAAGTGGCACACTGGCAGAGTGTGGCGATGGAGACAGCAGCACAATGGGAGGCCGTACAGGGACCCATGACACACTCTGGACCTGGCAGCAGCATGAGGAGGCGGTACAGGGCCCATGACAGATTACGGGCCTGGCAGCAGCATGATGAGGAGTCGGTACGGGGGCCCATGGCAGATTACGGGCCTGGCAGATGACGACGAGGCTGCCAAGTGCGATCAGCCTCATCATCATCAATTAGGGGTCTCCGCCTCACTACTAGCCCCCTCGGCTGCGTGTGGGTCAGGAGACAGACCTGTCTCTAGACCGGCTACCGAGCCACTCTCCTCGCCAGTACTTCTTCGCCTGGCTGCTGAAGAGGCGGATGTCCTCCCCCCGTTCCTGACCCGCCCTCTGTTAGCTCTTCCTCACTGTACAGTGGGGCTGAGCCCCACAGCATGCGATACTTCGCTTGGTGAGGGAACACCAAAGGACAGGGGCAGGTAGAGGACACGTGATTTCAGTGGGCTTGCTCCCGGGGCCATGCCAACTAACGGTTGTGTCTGACGTACCCACCGACCGTTGGCTGTAGGTGTCAGAGGTGACCTGGGAAGAGGAAGACGACCGAGCCAACCAATCGATGACGGCAGGGTTGTCGGTGGAGACACGACCGCTGGATGACACCGGGAGCACTGGCCTCTGGCTGCGACTAGTGCTGCCTCGACCCCTTCCTCTGCTGCCACGTCTGCTCGCTCCTGAAAACATTGCCTCCTCTGCCACTCCTCTGCGTGTTGTCTGACATACTCTTTAATTCAACGATTCTGTGTCCCTGAGTAACGATTCTGTGTCCCTGAGTAGTAACAATTCTGTGTCCCTGAGTAACAATTCTGTGTCCCTGAGTAACAATTTGTGTCCCTCAGTAACGATTCTGTGTCCCTCAGTAACAATTCTGTGTCCCTGAGTAACAATTCTGTGTCCCTGAGTAACGATTCTGTGTCCCTGAGTAACAATTCTGTGTCCCTGAGTAACGATTCTGTGTCCCTCAGTAACAATTCTGTGTCCCTGAGTAACAATTCTGTGTCCCTGAGTAACAATTCTGTGTCCCTGAGTAACAATTCTGTGTCCCTCAGTAACAATTCTGTGTCCCCTCAGTAACAATTCTGTGTCCCTGAGTAACAATTCTGTGTCCCTGAGTAACGATTCTGTGTCCCTGAGTAACGATTCTGTGTCCCTGAGTAACGATTCTGTGTCCCTGAGTAACAATTCTGTGTCTGTCCCTAAGTAACAATTCTGTGTCTGTCCCTGAGTAACAATTCTGTGTCCCTGAGTAACAATTCTGTGTCCCTGAGTAACGATTCTGTGTCCCTCAGTAACGATTCTGTGTCCCTGAGTAACGATTCTGTGTCCCTGAGTAACAATTCTGTGTCTGTCCCTGAGTAACAATTCTGTGTCCCTGAGTAACAATTCTGTGTCCCTGAGTAACAATTCTGTGTCCCTCAGTAACAATTCTGTGTCCCTCAGTAACGATTCTGTGTCCCTGAGTAACGATTCTGTGTCCCTGAGTAACAATTCTGTGTCCCTGAGTAACAATTCTGTGTCCCTGAGTAACGATTCTGTGTCCCTCAGTAACGATTTCTGTGTCCCTCAGTAACGATTCTGTGTCCCTCAGTAACGATTCTGTGTCCCTCAGTAACGATTCTGTGTCCCTGAGTAACAATTCTGTGTCCCTGAGTAACGATTCTGTGTCCCTGAGTAACGATTCTGTGTCCCTGAGTAACGATTCTGTGTCCCTGAGTAACGCTTCTGTGTCCCTGAGTAACGATTCTGTGGTCCCTGAGTAACAATTCTGTGTCCCTTAGTAACAATTCGGTGTCCCTGAGTAACAATTCTGTGTCCCTGAGTAACAATTCTGTGTCCCTCAGTAACAATTCTGTGTCTGCCCCTGAGTAACAATTCTGTGTCCCTGAGTAACGATTCTGTGTCCCTGAGTAACGATTCTGTGTCCCTCAGTAACAATTCTGTGTCCCTGAGTAACAATTCTGTGTCCCTGAGTAACAATTCTGTGTCTGTCCCTGAGTAACAATTCTGTGTCCCTGAGTAACAATTCTGTGTCCCTCAGTAACAATTCTGTGTCCTGAGTAACAATTCTGTGTCCCTGAGTAACGATTTCTGTGTCCCTGAGTAACGATTCTGTGTCCCTCTCAGTAACAATTCTGTGTCCCTGAGTAACAATTCTGTGTCCCTGAGTAACAATTCTGTGTCTGTCCCCTGAGTAACAATTCTGTGTGTCCCTGAGTAACAATTCTGTGTCCCTGAATAACGATTCTGTGTCCCTGAGTAACAATTCTGTGTCCCTGAGTAACGATTCTGTGTCCCTCAGTAACAATTCTGTGTCCTGAGTAACAATTCTGTGTCTGTCCCTGAGTAACGATTGTGTCCCTGAGTAACAATTCTGTGTCCCTGAGTAACAATTCTGTGTCCCTGAGTAACGAGTTCTGTGTCCCTAAGTAACGATTCTGTGTCCCTAAGTAACGATTCTGTGGCCCTAAAGTCTCTGTGCCCCTAACTCTGTCCCTAATACACAGAGGTCTGTCTCTCTTGAATGACTGGAGGCTAATGGAGAATTCTAAGATGGCCGCAATTTTTAGCTCCACCATTACACAGTGCTGGCTGGCTGGCTGCTGATTGGCTAATGCGATCACATGTCATGAATGAATGCATTATGGGTCAGCGCGCCTTGTCTGCGCGCCTTCCCAGAGATCCCCGCTCCGTCGCCACACATGTCGCCGCCATTTTTGGGAAAATTCGATTCGTGCATCCGAAGTTTGCTAATTTTCGGATTCGGGCGCGAATCGAATATTTCCTAATCTCGAAACGAATTCCACTTTGTCATGTTCGATTCGCTCATCTCTAATTGTAGCGCTCACCCCCACAGGAGCCGCTATTTCTTCATGTCCACTGTTCCCAGTGTCCACAACTCTAGGCAGAAGAATCACACGCCCTGAAACATCTGTGACTTCAAATGGACTTTAATGAACAGACAAAAGCCCTGCATGGAAGAAATGAGTGGAACAACCAAAAATGACAATAAAATTCAATACACCATCTAAAACATAATTGTAACAAGAGGAACAATATACAAATCTAATGTAAAGAACAGGAAAAAATCTAGTTG